AAAAAGAAAAAAGAAAGAAATTAGCTTAGGACACTGTTTTGGAAACTGTCACTAAAGGCTGATGAAGGGCTCCTCCCATAATTATTGCAACAGGGTCAAGTGGCAGCCAGGAGAGGCCAATCCACAGAGCTGGGAAGGTAGTGTAATGAACATAGTGGCCCTACATTCCACTGGGCACTCAACAGGAGAATTGCTTAATTTGTGCACTTGAAAAGAATCAGGGGCGGATGGCCTAGAAGGCGACTCTAGGTAGCCTAATAATGAAGCCATAATCACCTGCCCAGTCATCAGACCTGAGCACTTCTTGGGCCGAAGGTATATACGAGGAACAACCCCTACAACAGAGGATCAAGAGTCTTCAGTAGAAAGAGCCTCAGTCCCCTTCTTCAGAGAACCTACAGCTGTATGCACAGGGGACTGTGCCTCTGGAAAGGAAATATCCAGACTTCTGAGGACTGACTCAACATTCATTCCAGGAGTCCACTGTGGCCTCCCCGGAGAAGCAGAGGAGAGGCCAGCTAGGAAGCAGAGCCAGGTACAGGTCCAGCTCCGGGTGGGTGCACTGGCCAGTGGATCCCCTATGCCCAGCTCGCTTCTTTAGACCCCATGGTCACCGCTGGAATGCATATCATGGTCATCAGCACAATCCCACAGTGGTGTCCTGGCCTGTGATCCTGCTTTCTGAGAGGAATGGAAAACAAAAAGCTATTTAATACCTAGGGAACCCAAGGGGATGTCTCCAAAACCTCGCCCCATCTGGGAGCCAAGATAGCAGAGCGAAACAAAACCGTGCAGGGGAATCTAAGGGGAATGGCAAACCTCTGGGTCACCATTTGGTCCCTATGAAAACTGGCTGGACCCTGACAGGTGCCGGTGGTCTCCCACAGACCCACCCGAGTGTCACCCCGCTGTGCAGGCTGTGCAGAGTTGACCGCGTGGGCACGTTGGTAGGAGTGAAGCAACACAGTGCTGTTTTCATTCCTCTCAGGAAGCAGGATCGAGGGCTGGGGGGCAACTCCGTGGAGGGCACTTGCCTGGCTCTGTGAGGCCCGGGTTCAATTCCGAGCTCTGCAAAAAGAAAAGAGCAAGCAAGCAGGTGCAACCCGCCCGGAACAGGCGGCGGCGAGCATGAGAGCTCAGGCCTGCTGACCCCTGTCTCTGTCACAGACTGCCCTGAAGTCTGGATAGTTCCAGAGGCACAGTCACCCATGCAGCCTCCTTTATTTCGACGGTTTTCAAAGTGTGGTCCATAACCCTCGGTGTCCCCAATGCTTCCAGGGGCTGCATGGGTGAGACCATTTCACAATACTGCTCTCCCCTGGGGGTGCACACCTGATGACACCCCTCCTGGGCAGCTGTGCAGAACGTCCCCTGTCCCTCACCAGCGTTCTTCACCACCCTACGCTCAGGACAAGAAGTGAAGTGGCCCGCTTCCCTTAAGAAGGCCTTAGGGACACAATGAAGTCATGAGTGGTGTTAGACCTTGACCTTTGACGCACCTTCTCCTGATATTCTGCATATCAAATTGCAAAGTTTGCACCCAGGCTTCTGATGCTCGCTGGAGGGAGGCACTGCGTCGAGGACAAGCACTGGGATGATGCACGTTTCCAGCGAATTACCAGTTCTGTGACGCACTGCTCCTACGGCAGCTCTCTCCCCAGAAGAGCCACCTTGTCCCGGTGACTCAACACTCGGCAGTCCACTGTGGCCTCCCTGGAGAAGCAGGGGAGAGGCCAGCTGGTAAACAGAGCCAGGTATAGGCGGGGGCAGCTGCGCAGGGTTTGGGGAAGATATTGACTACAAAATATTTTCTACAAAAAGCGAGCCTTCAATTTAAGGAAAACAACCAGCAATACTTGTTGCCCAACAGGGCCCAGCGGCGCACACCTTTAAGTCTAGCTCCTCGGAGACCAAGGCAGGAGGATCGTGGGCAACAACAGGATGGCAAGTTCAAGGCCAGCCTGGCCAACTCAGAGACCCTGTCTCAACAAAGTGTTTAAATAAATAAATGAATAAAAAGGACTGGGGCTATAGCTCAGTGGTAGAACTCCCTTGGTTTAAACCTCCAGAACCAGGGAAAAAAGTGTTGCCCATAACAAAATTTGAGTCTTCACATGAAAATTCCCATTTTGAGAAACTCATCTCCACCACTGTGAGCCTGACACCTTCCTAATATTTTAAAGCCCTTCTGATGAGATGGTGGTGATACTAACAAATATGATTTCTTGACATTGTATTATGAAACGTGTAATATCTGGAAAAGCTGGATAATTTAGTAAACTAATATTATCCAAATGTCCACAGTCTGATGCTACAAAACGATGAATCAAAGTCATTCCAGAAGGCAAAATAGATAGGAGTTTAATATGACAGATCACAAAAAGTGCATGAAGGATTTCAGACTCCACACTGCACAAACATTTAAGAAAGTACCATTCACTGAGTTCTAATATAGCATCCCAGAAAATATCCAAAATTATCTGAGAAATCTATTAAAAATACTTGTCTATTTTTTCAGTTATGTATCTGTGTGAGGTTGGAGTTTCTTCACAACTTAAACCAAAATAGCAAATCCCAGCAGATGGAATGTGGAGACAGATGAGGTTCCAGCTGTTCCGGGAGAGATTTACAAAAATGCTCAACAGTGTACTTTTTTGTTTTATAAAAGGTAGTTATTTTCATAAAGATGTGTCTTCTATGTAAATACGTGACGGTTTGTTATTTTTAGTGAATTAATGCACAAACAGGTTTAAAATGACTCCTCATAAATATATATTCCAGAAAATATAAACAGATACAACTCATGAACATGAAAGCTCTTTGGAGTACTCAAAATTTTAAAGACCATAAAGGGGTCCTGAGGCCAAAATATTTGAGACTTGCTGTTCAGGGCCCTCATCAGAATGTCCCAGTGCCCCTGTTTGGTGTGCCCTGGTGACAGGGGCTGAAGAGCAGGAAGAGAACTGTCAGTGTGCTAGAGTCCTTAGGAAAATACCTGGGCTCCAAAGGCGGCAACCAACCCTTCCAAGATTCAGACACACTCTGTCCTGGATAATTCTAGTGTCACCTTCACTGGACTAAGGGACGTTCAGATGGTTGGTAGACCGTTCTCTCTGGGTGTGTCTCTGAAGGTTTCTAGAAGAGATTGGCGTGTGAGTCAGTGCACGGGGTAGATATGTGCCTGTCGGTGAGGATGGGCCCTGACCGGTCAGCTGAGACCTGGAAGGAACAAAAAGGCAGAGGAGGGGGGAATTGTCACTGTGCATGTGCTCGCGTGCTCCCTCTCCCTCTCCCTCTCCCTCTCCCTCTCCCTCTCCCTCTC